ATCTATCTATCTATCTATCTATCTATCTATCTATCTATCTATCTATCACTGTAAACTGTGATGTAAACAGATATTTGACTTACAGTATTATCAAAAGATCTTTACCCAGCCCTAATTTCTTCATATTTTCCGTCCAGCCCTACTCTCCTTTCATTTCCAAGTGGTCTTTTGCAACAGGTCTCCAGGCTTTCTAGAAGTTTTGATTTTTTTCTAATAACATCTCTAGTATGTCTATGTAAGTGTTGGACAACAGAAAAATGGAAAAAATCTATCTATCTATCTAATCTATTCATTGATTAATTCAAGAAAGCAAAACACAGTTTATCGTAATCCTTCAACGTTTCATCCCGGCCTCCACAGTAAATGTATTTCTGTGTCCCTGTCTGTCGCTCCATGTCTGGCTCAAACTTTCAGCCACTCATGACCATCGCCAGCGCCACAACCCTGACCTGAAGTTCCCAAACAGAACACCGAGGGGAAAACAAACAAATAACAAGTCTTTTTTTTTAAATGCGCAGTTCTGCTGCGCTTGTTTCAGGCCCCCCTGCGTCATTTGTGTCCATGGTTTCTATTGTTTTAAAGTCCAATTCCGGGTTTTTATCCTAGAACGGCATATATTTGATTTAAATTATGCTTCTAGCTCAAACGAGCCTCGGTAACGGTTTCCTAACAGCTTTCGCCCACAGTCTCAGTGTGTTTTTTTCTTTTTTTTTTCTGTCCTCAGGCGAGTCCCCTGCCTTCCTCCTCTTGATGGTGTCAGTCTCTTCTTCGGAGGACATTTTAGAACCACAACGGACTTAATCGGAATCTTTCCGGAACCCCCACCTCTTCTCTTTTTTTTTTTTTGTTGTTGTTTGTTTTTGTTTTTTTTCTGATATTCAGGAAGTAAAAAGGTCCCGTAGCTATCCCGTAAGGCAGCTGTGTGAAAGCTGTGTGTGTCTATGCAACTGCCCCGGGCGGTGCGCCTCTCCCCGGTGGACTGGGGGGGGGGGGGGGGTCATCACGACCAGACTGTTCTCCCGCTGGTCCACCAGAAAAACCACAGTCACAACACAGAAACAAGGTTTTTTTTGTTTTTTTTGTACATATTACGTTTGAACTGGCAACATCGTCGCGCAGAAACTACTGAATCCATAGTTTTGTTTTGACATTTCTGTATTCTGATTGCGGGTCGACACCAGAGCTTTGCCCCCCCCTTCACCCCCCACCCCAGATGAGATGAGTGATTAGCATTAGCAGGCCCTCCGTTTTGTAGACCTCCTCAGTCCGAAACACGACGAGAACCGTTTGTAATGTGAAATGTGGGTGACACATGCTTCTCAAGGTTTCCCCCACTGTTTCTTTGTTTGTTTTTGTTTTTTTCATAGTTTTGTTTTTGTTTTTTAAATCACGTATAGAATTACTTTAATCTGCTGGAAAATATTCACGTGGAGTGAGAAAAAGGCGAGTAGACAAGCAAGTCACGGAAAAAAGGGTTGCACATGGGCAAAAGAGTGAACTTAAAGTTGTTGTTTTTTTTTTCCGTTTCTTTTTTTATTTTATTATTTTGATGTAAATTTACACTATTTATAAATGCATATTTATTGCTTGAAACTATTTGTTGATGGAATGCTGTAATTTTCTCCAGAGTACCTGCCATTAAATTTGAAGGCGCTTTGTGATTTTAAGCACAGCCCTTCGTATGTTTTCTATATAAATAAAACTGCTTAGTAAGCATTGTACAGAGACCTTACCTTGAAATTGGTTTATTGTTTGAAGGATGTTTTACGCGTCAATAAACAGAAACTGTCTTTATTTACCTCTGCAGCTGTGCTGTTTATTCAGATTATTCCATTCTTTTTTAACATGTTTGTTTCACTTAATTAAACAGTTGATGATCAAGCTTTTCTTTTTCTTTTCAAGTTTGTTGGGAAACCTGAACAAATTTAATTTTTAATCTGAGAAGACATTGAATTTCAAGTATCCAGATTTTCTTTTTTTTCTTTGCAGGGATTACAAAATATGCTCCACAACACCGTAGTCGTATTTTTGTGGGAAGAGGAGGAAAAAACTAGCGTTAAATGCTTGAATATGTTTAACAATCCTCTATATCAATTATCTCCTAAAAAAGAAATCAGCCAAAGGTATTCAATAAAACAATTAATTCAGAAATAGGTTCAGAAAGGACAGCGTTAACGTGCACTAGTCAGAAAAAACAGTTCTGAATATTTTTCAGAATCCATGAGATGATCTAGAAAAAGAGAATCTGTTGGCATTTTAGTGAAAAAATTAACAGATCTTTCTTAATGTTTTTTGAGTGTTAAAAATGTTGAATATGTTTTAATGTGAATTAAATGCCAGTTTATTAGATTTACTAATCTTTGTATTCTGTTTTTAAATATGAAGCTTCACAAAATGCCCTCATGGTGTTTTTCAGGGGACAATCTCGGGTCGGTAGCTGTTATAATAAAATTTTATCACAGCAAAAAAAGGCATACAAGTCTTAGCACAGTATTTGTGACTTTTTTCTGCATCTTCTACGTGATTTTAATCTTTTTTTTCTCCAATTAACAAATGTGCAACTCATTGAAAAAAAGACCTGATGATGGGAGGAAAAGAGGAACTGATTATTGTCAGTTTACAAAAGAGGAACAGAGAGTTCCCTCTGCGCTGGACGGGTGGTGAGAAAGTTGAGCTCCGACCGATTCCAGTCTTCTTTGTTCAAACTGAACACAGCTCGGCCGTAAAACATCTGCCCCGTCAGATGTGCCAACTTACATGAAAAAAGTATCAGAAGAGGGCAGAAAATTTAGTTTGGATCACAAAAGAAACACACAGTATCTCACATTTTAACCCCACTGTTAAAACCATTCATGATCAACCTCCATAAAGTTCCTTTATGTCAAACCTCAAAATTGGTTCAAAGAGAGGGAGTTTATTTCTTAAAGGAAGGGAAATAAATTTGCTGAGTAACATTAGGGTCAATGAAAAACATCAAGAATCTGCTGGACGACACGGCCTTATTTCACTTTGACCAGACGGAGTAAAAGGTGCTGACCCATGTTTACATCGTCACTTTGGCCTTTCCCCCCCAACAGCCGGGCAGCTGCGTCAGAACCGTCATTCCACTGCAAGAAATCCTCTGTGCGAGTGCCAAAATTGGTCTAAAACAGAGCTCCAAGTTCCTGGCCAAAGCTTTCAAAACGCTTGTTTTAGTGAAGGCAAACCAACAGACACCAAACATAAGTTTGGGTTGATCTTTTAAAGTTCCCATGCAGAACAGGAGGATTTTTTTTAGAAGAATAAGGTATTTTTCGACTCACAACCAGCAGCTTGTTCTTTTTTCTGTTTGTTTAAAGTTGCAACTTAGTCTTGTGAATCTGTCTAAATAAGAGGACCGTGTCTGTTCCATTTTTCTCTGTTGAAATCCTGATAATGTTATTGAACGTTTTTGTGTGAATTATATCTTTACTTTAAGACATGAACTTAAGCTTTAACCAGGAAAGAACTTGCGTAAGTGTGCAGACATATTTAAAAAAACGACAACATTTTTTGTACTTTTCCTCCAAGGAAACAGGTTATTTTGATCTTTTTAAAGTGGCGCTTTCAAAGTAGTTTTTTCAAGCCTGAAAAGGAAAATCCCTGCTTTTTCTTGCACATTCAGTCCAGCATTCGGAGGAAAGCATTTTGTTTGTCAATTCATTAAACACTGAGCTATGAATCATGAGCACATGGAGCCATAAAACCCTGACCTTCCCTCAGAAGCACCTCTTAGTTACCGAAGAGAGCTGTTAGGCAGGAACTAATTGATTTCCATAATTGCCCGCATAATTGATTTCCGAACAAAAACGCTACATCCTTGTTTTACAGGCCTTAAAAGAAACATTCGCGCACGGCGTTGAACAGGAACGGGTTTAGCGTTCTGTTGCGTTGTTTACAGTAAAGTGTGGATGATGAGTTTAGTTGAATTTGTCCTGTGAGTGGGCACAGCCGGCCTCTTTTGTCGTAGCCTCAGTGTGGGGAGAGAACAGACACCAAAGTACTTAAATCTGACGAGGGCACTTGTGTGTTCCACTAATGTGACAAGCTCGAGCAAGTCATCTCAGTCAGGGGCACGAAAACCATGAATATCAAACTTATAATTAAAAAAAAATGAGACGTCGGGTCTTTGTGCGGCGCTGGAATAATTCAACAATGGATCCCTCACTTAAGCCTTTTTTTCCCTAAATGTGGGATGGCCGATGCTCATTGTGCTCCCCCCCGGATGACATCCGGAACAACCACCTGGAACTCGGCCTTGTGGATTTGACAGTGGTGTCATTAGCTCAGCCGCAGGGGGACCGATGGACTGACATCACTTTCCACCAAAAACACCTTTAATTTATTCACACTTTTGTATTTAAAAAAAAAGAAGAAAAAAAAACTTTTTCTACCTGCCCTGAGAAGCGAGGAGGGGGAGGACGTTGACATTTTAGAGATGGAGACCAAAGCGTGACATCATTCTGACTTCTGTTAATTCAAACGGAAGCAGGGATTTACTTTTTATTTAGTTTTTTTACTTTTTATGATGACATATTGCATTCTAGCTTCGTTATGTAACGAACTTGGCATTTGGAAACGGCAAAATAATCAGAGTTTTGCCACATATTACGACATATATCATCTAAATAAAGCAGGCCGTACTCAGTGCCGAATGCAGACTGAACTTTGACTGAGTTTTGCCTTTTTAGCCACAGGAACTCAGGGATGAGAGGGGAAACCTAAAGCCTTCCGCCTTTTCCCCGTTCAGACTTATCGATGGACGGGTTTTTCTCACGGGAGCCATCGGTCCAGCCAGCAGATGTCACTGTGGCCATGAGAGAAAATGGCCAGTGGGAGCACCAGGATCTCCAAAAAACCCACGAGCAAACAAAGCTGCTCCATCCTGAAGGTGTATTCCAAATCTTTTAGTCACTCACGTGAATCATCTCGCATTTGTTCCGTCCATATTTGTTTTGTTTTTTGCTCTTAAACTGCGTGACTCACTCTGAAGTTTTGAGTGAAAACACATGAAAGTATTTCAAAACAGGAAATGGACGTACAGGAAGGGCAGAAGTTGGGTTTCTTAGACGGCGCACCGGTGGCTTTCAGCAGCCAAGAGGAGATCAGTCGTTTTTCTAGAAATGCTGGTTTTGTGCGAACTGCATCTGAGAGGGAATTTCAGGCTAAATCAACAAACAAAATATCTAAAGCCTGACAAGGCAATGACAGTGTGGTTGAAATTGATTTCTGCCAGAGAATGTCCGCCAGAGAGGAACTTCTTTTCATTTCGAGTATTTGTTTCTTTCAAGGGAGGTTGATAAATTCACTGGGAGAATTCCAGTTTGCATTCTGTGGCTTCAGTCATGTGTGAAAGAACAAAAAAATCCGAGGGTCAGTGTAAGTAGAGGCTCTCCTCGCAGCCAAATACATTTGAACTGCAATCTATTTGGGGAAAAAAAAGTCTAAAGTTGACATAAAAACATGGGAAACACAAGTCTTTAGGAATTCAAGGGGATGGAAAAAGAAACTAACTTAAAATCCATGGGTGAAAATATATTGTTTTCATTTTTCTCTTGTCCAACACTTACATAGACATACTAGAGATGTTTTTAGAAAAAAATCAAAACTTTTGGAAAGCCTGGAGACCTGTTGCAAAAGACCACTTGAAAATGAAAGGAGAGTCTGGCTTCTTGGACAGAAAATATGAAGAAATTAGGGTTGGGTAAAGATATTTTGATAATACTGTAAATC